ATCTAGTATACATAAAAGAAATCTATTAAACTAAACATATTTTTCATTTTTGATTCATGCAAATAATGTTTTGAGCTTCCTAGGTGCCAAAACGCGTATGACTATTTTCAGGCACACGAATTCCATGAGATTCTGTGAATAATATGTCCTTTTTGAAAAACATTATATTACTGAATACTACACAACAACATTTACAACATTACAACTATATTTACAACAGCCACAAATGTTCATCACGTAATATATTAACATCAGAAACCTATTTCTAAACATATATTTCATTTTAGTTAGCTTATAGAGCTATTAGGTCATTTCGAAGCAGGAGACATGAAAGCGCAATGCCCTCGTCGGGACTCGAACCTCGGACCTCTCGAATATGCGCCGAGCGTGCTGACCATCACACCACGAAGGCATGCTAAGGAGGTAGGAGAAATACCTTATATACTCCCCCTTTTAAAGGGTGACTGGGGATTAGGAGACCCTAGTCGCCAAATTCTAGTGGCGGAGAATCATCATACGTCACCTTTTTCAGTTCGAGCATCATTGTTGAATGCATGCTAAGAAGGAGGGAGAAATACTTTATAATGTATTTAACTAAGGAAATTAATCAATTATTTCGATTTTTAATTTGCGTATGACTACGCATATGATCTACAGCTATAAAAAATAACACTCCATTTCTTTTTACATTTTTCAAATAACTTTATCCTGCATGAAACAACACAACAGCCTTTTGGAAGCATTCATGATATTTGCTAAATATACATATTCAGTTACTGTTTAGTAATAAAATAGCTATTCTAATGTATTTTTACAAAGTAAAGCATCATATTTTTTAGAAGAATGCATTACATGTGATACTAAAACCGGTACCCCGAACTGCTAAATACTGGCAATTCCTTCCGGGTTCTGTTCCCGATAAAAAGTCTTTTTTGCATGAGTATTCTTTCCGTCCGTAATTGGTATACGCTCCAGTTTCCTTTAGAAAGTCTCCAGGGGAACACCATTCCATTTAGGAGCTGTCACGCATTTTGCCGTAATTAATTAAACAAACTAACAGTAACTCATATTACGATTTAGCGTTTGTTATTGCAACCATTCTGTACTTTATTATTATTAAGGGGTTGCAATGACCTGGCTTTTCTAAGAATGTCTGACGATGATGTTTCCTTCACTGACTGTTGGGGGAGGAGCAAACTTCCCAACTCGCAGCCTTATTAGGGAACCACTTTAGTGAAGTCCACTTTTTCTTAACCTAACGCTGATATGGAAACTGTAAGATTCTATCAAGAAATAAAATTTCACATTCCTCTTGTCCTACTTCAAACCGTCACAAATTAAAGATTTGGCTCACAACACCTAGGTTTGTTTTCCACATTGGTCAGGACAACGATTCTAGTAATTTTAGCCAGGTTTCATAACTTTACAGATATAAAGAAACTTGTAAGGTATATTCTTCATTTTTTCCGCATGCCTTCCTTATGTAATTGGAAGCACGCTCGACTCGTATTCGTGAAGTCTAGAGTTCGAAGAATTTGCGGATTTCCTCAGTTTCCCGATATGGACACCGCATGACATTTTGGCACGGCCTATTAAATTATATAATTTTTTTCTGCACTTCATTTAAACTTATTTCCTCGAATCGATTCAGTTATCCTCTCGCGACCAGGCAAAAATATATAAAAATTCAATGGATTAAAAATTGTAAAGTACAGAAAAACGTAAAACACCGAATGCATACAAAATAGTTTAAATTTGTTTTAGAATTAACATTGGAGCTTCTACGCAAAAAAAGTAATTCGGGCAGCGAGCATGAATACAATATTTCAGGTGCACAAAATTGAAAATTAACTGTTGTTCACACTGGACAAAAGGACACTGAAATGGTGTATCAAATGAGTTAATTCACTATTCTACTAAGAGTTTCAAATGTAACCAAATGGCGACCTCTTTAGGCTTTGCCCCAGTTAAACTTTTAAATTGTTCATAATTCTACAACTGTCGCATGCAGATTAACTAAGGGCATAAAAGCCTTAACCGGTCTATAAGAACAACATAATTCAACTCTTTTTAAAGGAAAAAATGCACAATTTACCAAAATATAAAAATTATTACACACCACATACATATATATATATATAGAGAGAGAGAGAGAGATGTTTGGTGCGGCCGATTGCAACGAAAATGATGGTTGCGCAACTACATGTTTTACCAGTCCCATACACAAAATTTCAACGATGTATGGCAATTCGTTTTTGAGTTATGCGAGATACATATATACGTACGTACGTATATATGTATCTCGCAACTATTCTACGTTTTAAACTGGAATTTGACTGTTATTTTATTTACATCGCCACGAACTGTGGTTGACTTTGTTAACACAGGAGGGTGCATTTATGTTCGAAGTTCGTGTTTAAATAAAAATGCTTATTTGAAACCTTTCCAAGTCTCTGCAGTTATTTTCAGACAAAGCACTAATTCGATGCATGTCTGCTAGGGATTCTGGACTGATTTAACCAAATTAAGTAAAACCCTATAGAAAGAACAAGAAAAATTTCGCTCTTTTAAAATATTGAAATAACCTTCCAAAAACCTGAAGTTCGTAAAACAACTTTCCCCCATGCCCCAAAATTAAAAGCGTATCGTTCAACTGTGTCACCGTTTGTCACAACATTTAATCGTATTTTTACTAGAACTAGAATTTAAGGGAGGAATAAAGTCAAATGCCCTTCGAATGTTGTCCTTGTAACAAGGGGAAGCCACATAGAACACTTGTAAAGGGTAATTTACCCTGTTTATTATTTTTTTTATGTATTATAATGCTGCTACTTAAACTATTTTTAAATGTGCCTCTCCTAACAGTTCCGTGCAACAAAGGAAAGCCACATAGACTACTTGTAAAGAAAGTTATAAAGGACAATTTGCACTGTTTATTTTTTGTTTGATAGCGTTGTTATTTAAACCATTTTTAAATATGTTTGTCTAACATTTCTTCACTGAGAGTTACTTTTAAATCGTCGGCGGGATATCACTCTACCTACAACCAAAGTAAACACAAGCACAGATTTAAAGTTCAGCAAACTTTATTCCATCACTCCTTTTGGGTTATACTAAAGCGAAAATATGCATCTAAACGGTCGATTGCTTCTCAAAATAGCATTTCAAACATACTCTACCTGCCTCCCATTCAATTAATAAGACACCTTCTCAGCTAATCACTGTAAGCCATTTACCACGCTCCAAAAATGAGGAATCTTCGACAAATATTGACGTTTGAATGCATTCTGGCACTAGTTTCTCGCAGTCAGCCCGATAAACTTTCTTTCGATAAGGCGTGAATTGCAAGTAACTTCTAACTTTTAAAATTTCTTGCACAACCTTCTGTTCTGATAAAATATATGTGAAGAGAATCAAAAGAAAAATAGAGCAGTCTTTGAAGGAAGTTTAACTGTTTGTAAATATTAAAATCGTCACTACTTTGCCGTATGTTTTTTAATTTTGAAACTCTATTCATTCGGAGATTATTTTAAGCAATCCCGAAATTCATTCTTTTATGATGTGCTTGGTAAGCAAGTTGTATATAATAAATTAGATAAAAGACAGCGTTATTATAGGGTCTTCCTATAGAACATCGTAAAAAGGCTCTTAAAGCTGTATTAATTAACAGAGCAACGACTTTTGTTTTTAGTGTGTTAGATTAGTTCTCTTCTATTTTTTATTGCGTTGAAAAAATGAAGTACTGCCATGCTATTTATCTCTCTCTCAAAAATCATTCCTCAAAGAAATAAAATATTACAATGCAAGGAAACATTTGAGCCATTTTCTTTGAAATTGTTGTAAGTCCATTTCTGACAAAAAAAAAAAAAAAAAAATAGTAAATGGTAACAATGAATGCAATCTGCTATGAGCTTTTTAATCTATAAACAGTTCCTCTAAAAATTCTTTCAAACTTTTCATCACATTCTCAGTATAAATTTATCAATGAAATTACAAATAAAATTGCTTTGAAAGCGGTTAGGTTCACTTTTCGCAAAGACATAATATTTAGTTAAAAAAATATACTATGTAATTTCTATACTTCGTTTTTATATGTGTGGCGACGTTGTTAATGACGTAAAAATTTTCCTTCTGTCACTGGAATTTTGGTACTCTGTCCGTTTATTGCAAAATATGAAACTTAGTTTTGTGTTCTTCTTGTTCACTTAACGTGAAGTAAATAAGTACGATTACGTCTAAAATTACTAATTGCTAATTTTACAACAAATGTGCATTTTAAGTTATATAACATTCGAAATGGATAATACCACCTTAAAATCGAACATTTATTCAGATAGGCATTTATAAAATAAATTTTTATTTTGACGCATCTCTTTCTATATTTTAATTAGTTTATTCAACGATGCGATGGATCTGTTACCTTATATTCCTCCAATACATCATGACTTAAACTTTCATAAACTTTCTCATAATGATAAAATTAAAAATGGCACATATTAATGTAAAGCAGTAGGCATTATCTGAACAAATATTGAGAAAAAGCTTTTTTATTTTACATTTTTACCTATTTAATAAAAATTTAATAAAAAATTGGTTTGATTCAATTGAAATTTCATACTTAATATTTCTTAAATGTTTGATTTTTACATTTCGTTGATTTTGAAAGGGGTTTAAATCCATTTGAGGTCATCAAAAGTATAAATTTCCTTAAAGTACTCTTTAAAAAATAATCACATTATAAATTCCATTTAATTTAATATTTAAAAAACATAAAATGAGCGTATTAACGTATAGCAATATTTTTCAAACCATTCGAATACAAGCGCTTAAATATCTCCATAAATAAAAAATGGACTTACTCCACTTTCAAAGAAAACGGTTCGTTTATCGAATCATGCATGTATGCGAGAAGAGCTTGTTTTGTTTTCGCAGTCTATTCAAAACTTAATTCCTTTCTTCTTGTTCACAAATATAACTAAATACATAATATAAAACCTTACCTTGGTCGTACGAGTCAACATGGAAGGTTTCTTTCAAAAGCGAAGGATCCATCCGTTGATGAAGCTTAAGTGAAAAAAAAAATACCTTTTTAAAAACATTTCCATACATTTGTTTTATAAATACCGTACACTTTGCATTGATCTAAGCACTTTTTTTTGGAAGAGCTTTTCAAGAATTTTTAAAATTTTGGCTGATTTTATACTTTTAGAACTACGTTTTGCATTTAGTTAAGTGACGCATCATAACATTTTTCAACCATGAATATTATAATCTGCAGTTAGAATATTTAGGTCACGGACGCTTAAAATAATACTTAAAAAGAGACAGAGTACGCTCATTATCAGCATAAAATCTTTATCATAACATTTCGGATGAATTCATCAAATTCTTGAAACTTCGCAGACATGTTTTCATAAAGTTTGTTCCGTATGGGAGGTTCTCTTATTAAACATGGAAACTGACCTTCATTATTCCATTCGCGCACATAATAGAAGCACAATTAGTTAGCTGTTCGCAAAGTATTGCTTTCAGCAACTTATCATTATCTATATAAATTTATCATAATTTTATTCAAAAATATTTTAATATTACTTATTCTTAGCTTGTGATTTTATCATGTTTTAATTGTATCATTTTTTAATAATAGATATATTTAGAATATTTTTCTCTTCTGTGTAATATTTTGATAAAATGTTACTACTGTTGTCATTTAGATAATAAAATGAAAATAAGAAATATATATATTCATATATAATTACTCATATATATATATATATATCAAATTTCAAGTTTCTGGTTTATTACGTTCTCGCTGAGCTCGCAGTATACCAACCTGCTGTTGCAAACACTCCTATTAACACATTTTATGTTTGTCTTTTTAGCTTTGTTATTCAGCACTATTTTTTTCGCACTTACGCCATATGCAGTTCAACAGCAAATTTACAAGAATTTTAACACCAGCATAGTAGTATAAGTTTAGAATTCCGGACGCAGCGTTCACTGTTGGGATACCTTTTTTTTTTTTTTTTTTTTTTTTTTTTTTTGTCTTGTCTTTACTCACTTCATCATATCAATAACCAATTTTCTTACTAGGATGGCTTTACAAAACATTTTTGCCTTTTCATTATTAACATTTTGTGAGTTTACTTTAATTATTAAATATCACCATCTGCGAGCTTCCACCATATGAACCTGGACTCGTCTCTGAAGAGAAAACGGACGCCTATTGTTGAACGGTCCATAAGACGTGTTCTCTTGCCCAACATAAACAGGCACCTCGGGTCAAGGGGACGCAAATAACTGGCCGTCTTGCATACAGACCTGCATTGTGTCTGTGCACTGCAGTAGCTGAGCTTCTTATTCCTGTTGCCACTAAATGATCTGCCATGAGCCAAAGGCACAGTAATACGTCTTCCTCCTTTGGGCCAGAAGAGCAAAATAACAGTCTCCCGCAGGTATTGTAACTCTAGGTTTGCCTGGAACATGCCTTCTAGACATAGAATCCTCGGATTCAAACTGATTCCATAGTCAATGGACCAAATTAAGAGAGACACTGAGACGTCAGCATCAGCTTGTGACATCCCTATTTCCATCCATCCGATTGCCCACCACCTCAACGAACCGGGCAAGCGATTTCTCCTGGATATTGTCAACGGAATTGTTAATAATAATTGAAACTCAACACTCGTGAACAAAACTTAAAATTTTTGCCTTTTTCTCCAACACATATATAAGTATTCCTTTCTATAAAAAAATGGTAGCTATTGTTTTTGCATATATTTTCTTAACTCTTTCCCATCGGAGTTGCTCCAAACGCCCGAGCATTCAAACATCGGCAGGTCGCCCGAACGCCTGAATAATTTCCTAACTAGTGCTTCCCCCCATCAAGTTATTGCATTGCTCATTGCTTTCAGAAGTTGTTAAATGACATGTAAATCATTCTTTTCAAGCAACTAAAAGTAGTTCTGTTATTTTAATGCACATTCTGTTTCCTTTGTTTTCTGTCAATGTTTAGCTATTAATGCACAATTCGATCCTCTCTCGGTGCGGAGAACTTCGTTACTATCACGATGAGTTAAACTTCGTTACTATATCATGCATATAAACTATGAATTTAAATGTTATTCACATTTTTAAGATAGTGAACCTTCAAAAACATGCTGTTCCTTAACTTTTGGAGGGCAGTGTAGATAGGAATACAGGGCGATAATATTTGGTGCCGACAGTTTGAAAAGTGATACGCCGTTTCCAGTGATTCAACGCAAAATTCCGTTTCGAAACTAATATCCCATTCGGAACTAACTTCCCTTTTGGGCTAATAAAAGTTTTATACCATAGGCTTATTCCAAACTCTTATCATAGGCGTTTCTTTAAAACTCATAAATAATTCATGAGTTAAAACAAGGAAAATGATTTATCATATAGCTTTTTTATAATATTTTTTACAATTTCATGTCACGAACAAAAAGTGGAGTTTTTGTTTATTACAAAGGCGGAATTGGAAACATTCGTAGCAAAGTTCTAAAAGATTACTCCTTAAGCTCAAAATGACTATTTTTGATATCTCACTGTGATTTTAGCAACAAGATCTTAAAGTTATGCTTTCTTCTCGCCATTAAAGAGAAGGTAATAAGCATCCAAAATAGCCTTGTTCCTGATTCTTTAACAATTTTTCTTTCAAAATTATTTATGAACCTGAATAAAAGTATGAAATAAAAGTAATTTAACACAGTAATTTTTTTATAATAGTAGTCTAAATTTGCTATTTGAACCCTCTAAGGATTATGTTACTTCATACCATATGAAGAAACCTTGAAATTTCAGGCACAAACTCTTAAAGCTGGGAGGATTAAAAAAAATATATATATATAACGAGTCTAACTAATGTAATTTCTTAAGAAAATTAAGGATTTTCGCTACAAATCAGAAACATTGCAGTTTTAGTTACACTCATTTAACTGAACGTTCCAGTGTAACCATTCTAGATTTCAAACAAGATAGAAATTGTCTACTATAGGTAAGTATCACTAGTTCACTAAAGGCAGATCACTCAAATGAAGATAAAAGTCTCAAAGCATTTTCTTTTTCATTGAAAGTAACTTATGATTAAAAAAGTACATATAGAAATGAAAATCTATCAGCTTATTTCTTAAGATCTTTTCCTTATATTCATATTATTTCTGATATGTTATTCTGTTTTACATTAAATATGGGCAGTATGGATGTCAGCTCAGCTGTCGACTACTATATTCTGATCCCAAAAAAGCGATAACCCAAATGGACTATGAGTCTCCTGATTTTGCCTCGTTCACTATGAACGGTCGACCACTTATCAAATAGTTGTCACCGAATATTACCGCCTTATATTATTTTTAAAGAATTGAATCTACTTGTATGCCTGTATATTTCTCGCACTGCGGAGAAACGACGGTACCATCGAATTTTGAATAATATACTTCTTCACCTGGAAGCCCGAATTTCGAATTTGTTTTATTATCTATTTCATATATTCTAAAACTTCAATTTATCTCCAGTACGCGAGACTGTCTGTCGGAAAGTCTAAAGGTATGCTGTACTTAAATATTTTGGAGTTTTGCTGTTGAATTGACGTTTAAGTTTGCGTAAGGGCCAACAACATGTTATTTGATAAATAAACTAAACATATAAAATGTCAATAATGAAAAGACAAAAGAAAAAGTTTTTTAAAGCTATCTTAGAAAAAACACTGGCCACTGATATGATGAACTGAGAAAAGACTGAAAAAAACGGGAAAATGTATGCCAACACTTAACGCTGCATCGGGAATTCTAAAAGTATAATGCTATGATGCTTTCAAAATTTTGCAATTAGCTGAATTGTATGTGGGGTAAGAGCGAAGAAAATTATGCTTAATATTAAAGCTAAAAAGACGAAAAGAATTATTAATAGGCGTGAGTGCAAAAGAGACTTGTAGACTGCGACCTCAGCGAAAGCGTATGAAGCCTTTTGGGAAATAGTTAGAATCTGAAACCTTTGAGATGTTTTTATTTTTATTTGTTGAAAAATTCGATAGCAGGATGTAATTCGACTTATTTATAAAATAATAAATACGATGACAACTACAAAAGTCGTTTTACAATAATTCTCACATATGTTATGTGTAGCTAAATTCCCTTCTTTCCATCTCTACCAGTCAACGGAATCTGATAAATGTTTCGCACGAAATCCTCGAAAATAGTCGCTAGGAAAAGTGAATTCTTTCCTGTATCGGAGGAACACTTTTATGAATACGTATCAAAATATAGCACTAAAAATAAAATTAATTTTGCTCCTACGAATCATGAGAAAATTCAAATTTTTTAAGACTTTCCATCAGTAATTAACATTATATCTAAAACCGGATGATAATAAATGAAAACTACCTGGTTTTTCCTTGTATAGAGTCGACACAATCCGAGAACGTCTGATTCTTCCGAAAATCCGACTACATCGGAAAAGCGTCCTCTTTTGAAACAGGTAAACTGATGTTCCATTCGATAGTTATGAACATTTAACTATTTTCTTGAAAGAGTTATTATCTAAATTTTTAATAAACTAGATTAACCTCTTTAGTCCTCCAATAGTCCCGTCTACAACGCAATATATTGCCGAACAAGTTTTTCCTGAAGTCTGCGGCGTCTATACTCTTCTATCTATACAGGAAAACATATTGCAGGTGTTTATGCCAAGATTAGTCACCTTAAGCATGACGGAAAGCAAATGTGCTGGCAATTTATTTGGCAAAAGCCAATGAAATCGCTCTTAGAATTTGCAAGCTACATAGATAAGCTCACTTTCATTTTGCCTTAATATTTGTCTCATTTCATTAAAATTTTTATTTATGATATCATCATTTAAAGTTATTACTCTGCTGCAAATTATTAATCATTAGATGAATTCACGTCGATATTCTGATATTCGTTACTTGTAGATTAAACAGAAGACCCAGGGAAAAAATAACTGACGAAAGAGAAGAAACGCGATTAAGCAAACTGTGTTTGCACCACCAATCACATTTTCTCCCAAATTTACTTTTTTTAAAGTCGATGCGATAGAAGTCAGTTATTAGATAGAAAACATGTCATATAACTTAACTTTTCTGTTTGGCTCAGTAGCTCAGGGAATAAAATCGCCTAGTATAGACACACTGCTATGAGACACCGATGAAATTGTACTATTACATCCGATAAGCATGTTTGTCGCTCCGTACACACACGCCTTAACAGCACGCCATTGATAAATATTTGCACTGTATTGCCGCGCAGATATTTAGCATTGGGCAAAAGAATCTTACCGGTATGTGAGGCTGCTTATACTTGGCACTTGTAAACGTCATTATATATGCCAAGAAAAATATCCAGTATGTGAACGGTGCCGACCTCATCGTCATTGGGAGTAACTTTGCTGCCTCAACTATACAGAGTGCGTTTTGATATATGTAGTTGATGCTAGCGGAGACAGCTGAAAAAAACATGAGAAAAATTTGGATGAGAATAATGTAAGATTTAAACCAAACAAATAAGTGCTGAATAGAATTAACTCAAAAGTCTTATTAAACAATACCTAGTTACTGCAAAAAATTCGTTAGATGCTAAAGTATTTTATTTCGTAATATAAGGCAAATAAAAAACGAATATTGAATGGAGTTAAATAAAAAAAAATATTAAACAGTATATATGTTCGATGTGTATTCCTCTTGTTACACCACAAACGTTAAATGGTCTTCCATTTCTGCTCACATGTTATTAAAAAAAACTCTTGTTATTCGATGCAATCGTCTGGCAGCGTCTAAAATGCTATCATTTCATTTGCAATCTGTGTGGCAAAAATCTTCTAAACTGTTGGCAGTGAAATATGAAATTCGTGATTTATTGATTTTATGGGCTATGCGTGAAACTTTTCTGCCACTGTATCGTTAGTAACACTTTACCGTCCTAAGCCCAGGCAATCAATATAATATTTTATAATACAATACAAGAACCCTTGAATTCAACTAAGTAATTTATTCTCTACGTAAAGCTGTTAAAAATACGGATAAATTGCTTAACAGTATGTATTTTTTTCATTATATGTTTATTTTCCTTTCCTCTATCTTTTTTCAATAGCTTTCGGATTAACAGTGGGATCCACTTACGGCTGGCCGGTCAAGTCACTGGACACTGGTTCTTCGACCTGGGTTCAATTCTAGGAGAACGGGCTGTCTGAATAGACCACTTCTTAGTTTTCTCCACATGCAACGGGAATATTAGCCATTTGTCTTTAGAATTCCCTCCACAAAGGTATATCTCTTCCCTTAGACAGATAGCCCTATTGTACCATACTGAAATAAGCCAAGCAATAAGCGGATCAACCTGATCTGGGACTAACAGTAAATGTCGTCTCCGATATTACTCCTGAAACGACGTTATAAACTTGTGTGATAGTAACCGTGAGCTGTATTTCTAATATATTACAATAAACTGTAGAAATATTAGTATTACACGTTGATCGTTTTAAAAATTGCATTATTTAAGCTATGCATTTTTAACAGCTGCTGGGATTTTAATTGCAGTTACGGATTTGCATTATTTGGAGTTCAACGCTGCATACCAAGGCTGTCTGTTTAAGAGGAAGAATAGCTTCACGGAAGGGCTTTGAAGACCCACGTGAAGGTGTGGTTCCCGTATGGTTCGTATCGCATGTTCCTAAAACGTACTCGCCGTACCCCCTGCTGTGACAATGCTGAATCACTATTGGCTGACCGACTTGCTACGTAAAAAACGTCACTTGTTTGGTCACGTGACAAGCCGATTGCATGGATTCTGAACTGTTGTGAAAGTGTAATTTGTAGTTTGCTGTATAAGACGTAATAAATTTTGTATGCATATACAATTCTGAATTAATAATAAACCGCTAAAAGGTACAGCTGGTAAAGAATATAGAACACAAACCTTTTCAGACATAACGCTTGAAGTATTTTATTTGGACGGCATAAGATATGTTTACTAGGAAGACAAATTTCGGCAAACAAAATATATAATTATGCAAAAGAAATTTCGTTACCGGAGCATAAAAGTATTTATTATTGTACTTTAGATTTTCAAATATCAGAGGTTGTGATATAATGTAAGAGAATTTTGATTTAACATTAGAGATTCAATTTTGAGGGAGTTGGAGCTTGGCATGAAGGGATTTTTTATTTATTTTTCAATAAAACAAGATTGGTTTTGTATTTTTGAAAATTTTTGACAGAAGAACAATTTAATCTTTTAATATTTCATTGGTATGTTAATATTTTTTGGAACTAAAATTAAAAAATGGAGGACTGTTAATATTTGCAGTAATAACCGATATTCTGAAAAAGAATATTGTTTTCGATTATTTAAAAATATAGAGCAACTTCTGATGATGTCTGTCTTTTAAAAAGGTACAAAAAGGCAAACTAGAACACTACTTTGTCATTGTCACAAGTAATGTATCAAAAAACATTGTTTCAGTTTTGGATGTGGGTATTCAGTTGCATACTAATTTATGTGAATCACAGGAAAAAAATAAGCATTCAAAAACTTGGAAACAGTCATTATGGTATTTCTAGGCAAAGTTTGGCATGGTGAATTAATAATTTCAAAAAGTTGTGTAGTGGATTTGTCATTCGGAAAGCACTTTGCAAGGTTGGAATGTGCTCAGAATATCATGGTATGCCTTGAATAATAAGAAGAAATGCTTACCAGCAAGGGTCAGAATTCAATAGAGCCAGGATTGTTGCCTATAGAGTGTGTGGATTATCGTTCTGTGATATCGCCCGTTGCACTAGTCGACATCCAACCACTGTTAAGCGAATATGGCATGTATGGAATGCTGAGGATTATACTGAACGGCATGCAGGATCTCATTGCCGTCCCATGATTAATACCCGAAAGGACAGGCATATTGTGAGGTCAGCCCTCCAAATTTACAACCACATCACAGACCATTAGTCAGAAAACGGGCATATTTGCAGCATGCCCAGTATCTGCTCGTACGGTGTGTCAACGTTTGCATCAGCATGGACTATCAGCACAGTGTCCATTACTTTAGCTTTCCTTAACAATGCAGCACAGAGAAAGATGGCTACTGTGTGGTGTGTCCAACAACAAAGCTGGATATAGGAGGGGTACAATGTCGTCTTTTCAGACGAGTCCCGTTTCTGTGTGCATTATTCTGATGGTCGTATAAGTGTCTAGAGGCTCCAAGGAGACCGCACATCGCCTGGTTGCATTCAGTATCAGCATAGGAACCCTAATGTGATGGTATAGGCAGCCACTGAGCACATGGCACACACATCTTTAGTTCGGATCGATGGTAATTTGAATGCCAGATCGGTACATTTGTGACATTTTACATCCAGGAGTTGTGCCCTATCTTTGAGGCCTGCCAAATGCAATCTTCCAACAGGATAATTCAAGACCACATGTTGGACATTGTGTTCTGACCTTCCTCGGTATGCAGTGCATTTGATTGCTGCCCTGGCTTGTACGGTCTCCAGATCTGTCACCCATTGAAAATACCTGCTCGTGGTTTGCTGAGGACTGGCCTAGCAACCCTCTCCATCTCATACGATTGATGAAGTGTGGCATGGACTTGAATCAGAATGGAATGAGATGCCGATTTCTGTCATTCAAGTGAAATTCTACTCAGTGCCTAACTGGATAAGGGCCGTTTTTAGCTGCCAGGTGGAGCAGTTGTTTCGACTGATTTCGCACCCTTGTAAACCCCCAAGCTGCTTACAAATTTAATCATTTTGTCTTCATGCCATACTATTTATGCACAACAAATATTTTTTTTATTTGCTTTCCTTCATGCTATAGCAATTTTAATGGCTATTAGTGTATTATTGATTAACAGTTATCTAAGAGACTTCAAGAGTAAGTACTTTACATAGTTTATAAAACTATTGCATATTTCTGTATAAAAAATTATTGATGCAGGATAGATAGCGCCTAAAGACTTCATGCAGCCATCAATGGAGTTGACAACACATTCATATTAGATGATTTTCTTTTATACTTTTCCCAACCACCAGTAGATTGCAAATAAAAACAAAGACTTACAATTACAACATAGCCAAACTGTCCTGAAGTAAACATTAACAATATACAAAGCCAAAATAATTATATTCGCATAATATGTGCATGACACTTTGTTACTAATAAATATCAGAGTGTCTTGGATCAAATTAATATTTGAATATATATTAATTAGGGATATCTTTGAAGATATAATTAATAGCATCATTACAACAAGGTAAAGTATAGTAAAACCACCCACTACTAGACAGTTACAGGATTGCTATATATGTGTACAGTGGTTCTCTGCTTCGAAATCAGGAACTCTCTATTTAATGGGGTATATCTGATAATGTGAAGTGTGCATTGCTGGAGGCTCGACTTACATTATCATCATGTTGGGAAAATATTTTGCATCATGACATAATTTATGTGCATGATAAGATACATAAAACTGTTTTGAGTGATATCAGCTGTAAATTTAGAAAGACACTTGGTACACTCCCTTATTAAAGTGGCTTTTCCATAGGTCTTAGGCATTGTTTAAGATTACATAAAGCAGTCAAGTTGATTCATGATGAATTACTAACTCTATCTCAGATTTTATTATACTTATGAAAGCTACAGATCGTGTTTAATAAAAAACACCAGAAATAATCACTGTCTTATTGACTAGCCATTTAGTCGCTCTCATACCATTTGCCATTGTGCATAATGATATAAAACTAATGCCTTAGTAGCATTGCTCAGTCAACATCATGATATTCATGAAATTTTCTAAGGGATAAATCAAACAAAAATGTAAGCAAAAGTCTTCTAAAAGATTATCTTCCCTAGAAAATACCAGCCAGATTTAAGACAAAAATACAGCATGTCTTCTGAGAAGAAAATAATTACTTACAAAATCATGTTTCCAACACTAATAAAGCACCTAATTATATATTAAAATTTCAAAAGATCTACACAATTGATATTCAACTAAGTCTTGTATATCTATTATTTGGCTTCATAAAGTAATATGTTGTCTAAAATGAAGTAGTCATATAAAAACAATATATTTTTCTTAATGATGGTTATATAAAATTTCTTAATAGAATGGTTTTTCTGAGTAAATGAATTAGAGTTTAAAACAATAAATATAATAGTGCTATAATAAAGCTTCGTAGGACTAAGGCTGGATTTCCTGCTAATTTGTAATTTAGATTTTTTTTTCTGCTTTGTGAAACTTTTCTCTTCTTCATAACATCATGCTTTTAATGTACCTTTAAAAGCTAATTAATTAATTTTGACAAGTATTTTGCTTGAGAGATGCTCTCATGGAAGCTACTAAATGATATTTGTCTCATACCTGCTTTTCTGAATAGAAAATACATGAAAGACCAAGCCAGCCATGACCTGCCTGAGATCAGTGTACAAATGTTTTGTGTCTTTAAATAT